GCGACGAATTTTTTTTTTCGCACTTCCTCAGAAATCAGCTTGCTAACAAGGTTGCTGAATAAAGACTGCTTCACGCTCATGCCAAAGGGCTGAACCGAACTATTTAAGTGCGACGAAATACTTTGGAGCAGTGTAGCACACACTTTCCTCGCTTGGAATAATCCGACCTTCGTCTCATCCAGCACTAGTCGATCCAGCTTGGTCGCACGCGCGCTCATGGTCTTTGCCGTACACTTGAAAGAAGAGAACCGCTTTTTGAGCCATAAACGACTTGACATGTCTTAGGCATGTTGTAATTTCGCCAAACCACCCCACGCAATTCTTACCGTAGTCGCAGTGATGAAGTGAATCAGCCGGGAGTTGCTCAGGTTAAATAGGATTGCTGCATGCGCCTCCAACTCTTTTTCCGCTGTGAACAAATTTAAATTGTCCACAGCCTCCCATAGTCTTTTGGACATGAGTTAAATCCCCATCTTGAACGCTGACCCACTACGTGCACTAGGTGCCGCCTTTGTACTTACAAAGAACTTCCCATCCATGGGAGGGTGAGGTATCCAACTCATTTTAGGGTTTTAGGATCAAATTATTGGATGAGCCCGCTGCATTCAAGGCCTGAGCGAAGTCACGTTTAGGAAATTGCATTGAGCTCTAACAGAGCGCATAACGATGGGAGGGCTACAAGGAAGGATCCATAACCACGTGACCTGTCACGCCATCGACCAGTGTATGTAGCTGATCAGTAGTATCGCTAAGCGAAGTTATAAACGCTTTTCGTCTTGCAGTGTAACGGGGTGAATCGTTACATAACAATTTATAAGAGATTGTTAATAGAATATAACTATAAGAGTTATATTCTCAGAATATTGTCATAAGGACAATATTCTGTAGCACTTCCAAGTAGTTCCTAATTGGTTGATATAGGCCATTATATCAACCAACGAAGACGCGCCACGACAGACGCACGCAATGAGTGGTGAGCAGATAACTGATTTACACATTTGTATTTAGACATAGTTAGATGAAGATAAATAGTGATTTATTGCAGACATTAACTATTATAAATACAGTTCTACTTTTTACTCTAACCAAGTACTCGCTTCTTCTTACCGTCTTCCTCTGCACGTACGAGTGTACGTGAAGTTACGAGGCACCGCCTTATTCTGTCATCAGAATAAGTAGCTTGTACTGTCACCAGTACAAGCTTCAGGGCGCCCCGTTACACCTGGTAGCACTTCGTAGTCCGTCCAAGGACCGCGTTCACATCCAACATGAATCTGTTGGATGATGAAGATGACCAAAGCTTTCACGCTACGCGTGACGGCTACTCCCATTTGAGCGATGTCGAATAGGATGCGGTTGAACGAATGGGTTCGACCATGTGCATCCATGCTGTTAGCGTCATGCTAGAGGCTCTCAATAGAGATGCCCAACATGCTACTATCGCCAAGTTCATTCAAAATGAACTTGACGCCGAACGCGAGAAAGTAGCCTTGCTTCACCAACAAGGTTCTCAACAAGCAGAGTTGTTGAGAGAACAGGGTGCTCAACAGTTTGAACTGTTGAGACAGCAGCAGGCTGCTGCTGGCGGGTCGATGCACTCGCGTCGACCCGAGACTTTGAAGATTGACATCTCCAAGTATAGGGGGGTCGCAGAAGACTCCCTCTTGAGATGGTTCGTCGAATTGGATGACGCCATAAGGGCGCGTCGCATCGACGACGGGGATATGCAAGTTGCATTTGCCCAGTCAAATCTGGCAGGACGTGCCAAGACTTGGGCACTGGGGCTCAAGTTGCACGACCCATATGCGTTTGGGTCGTTGGAAGTCTTCAAGTCGCGGCTCAGACAAACGTTTGAACCGCCTAGAGCTGAGTTCAGGGCTCGAACCGAACTCTTGAAGCTCAAACAGGGTAAGCGTGATGTGCACGCTTACGCCCAACATATACGACATCTCACGAGTTGTATAAGTTCCAATCCGGTGGATGAACACACGTTGGTTTCGGTGTTCATGCAGGGTCTTGCGGATGGTCCCGTCAAGACTCACCTGTTCCGGCTTGAACTAGATTCACTAGAACAAGCCATTTCCATTGCGGAGCAGGAAGACTTCAGTCTGAGACAGGCTCGCGCCAGCTCGACATCATATCGTCAACCGAGACGATATGACAACGGAGGTCCAGAGCCGATGGAACTCTGTTATGTAGAGAGCGAGAAGGCTCGCTCTACAGGCTACAAGAAGTTGCAGAAATGCAACAGATGTCAAAAGACAGGACACTACGCTTACGAGTGTAGTGCCCCTCGTCCAGTGTCTCGCGACACTGGGCGTAGTGACCTTCCACCCATGAGAAAGGGGCAGGGACGAGGGTCCTCAGTTGGTGCAAAGACGCAACAACGGGATGGACCGTCAAAAAACGGACAGGATCAGTAGGTGCGGAGCACCCTACTGATCCAGCAACGTCAAGAGAATTTGTAGGCCTCTTGATGAAGGTTGCTCCCAACACACAGACGTTGTGCGTTGCTGCTCTAGGTAATGAGGTCTCACTCATTACCTTAAAACTCGAAGTGACGAATAAGTTGTCCCTTCGAGCTCTAGTCGATTGTGGGGCGTCCAACAATTTTGTGCGACGCCAATCGCTAGAAGACGGTCATTTTAAATTCAATGATTGTGACACACCTCCTACGAGGATGACGGTACGTCTTGCGACAGGCGCATCCGTAACCGTCATGAAGCGTATAGTGAAGATCCACTATACGCTAGAAGATACCCAATATGACGATGACTTTATCGTATTGGATTTGGATGACAAATTTGATGTCATCCTTGGAATACAGTGGCTCAGAAGGTACGAACCACGAGTAAACTGGCAACCATCGAACAGTAACGGTGCCTGCCGCTTGTTCATCAGATGGCCATCTGATGAACGTTTTGGAGCGTCCACAAGCGTGTGGATGTACTACGAGTGAGTGCGATGGCCTCACTTGTGGTACGGTCGTTAGTACGACTGCACAAAACCTTAGTGTACCAAACGGTTACACTTCGGAGCAAAGTTCTGGCGGCTGTGAGGAAACACAGGCTGCGCCGAAGGTCCACCACTCGAATAAGTCGGGTGGACTGGGACAAAGATGTATCCCTAGCGGGGAACATCTAGAAGAGAAACAATCGATCGCTCAGGTTAAGCGAAACGATAATCCTAGATCGACTGGAGAGTCTTTCGTAGAGGATCTCGCTGCGGTTGCGCAACCCCAGCTAGAGGAAGTAAAGGGAATAAGTCCCAAGATTACAAATACGGCGGAAATAAGTTCCCCGAAACCCGCGGGAACAAGTCCCCGAGAAGCCGAAGGAATAAGTCCTTCGAGGCCTGAAGGAATAAGTCCCCAGGAAATGACAGAGACATTGAATGTCATAGTCAATAACGGATCAAGTGTAGGCGCTTATACACTTGATCTGATTGCGCCTCCGAAGTTAACTTCGGAGATCACTCAGTTGCCAACGCTCGAACATAAAAGGTTCTTGCGTGATCTGCGTAGTGGCAAAGTCAAGCAGATCTGCATACTCGTCGCTGACGACGAGTGTGTAACCGACATAAGGTCAGCAACAGTGTTCACTGAGAACGAGAGAGTTCTCAGTAGTTCATCTATGGACGAGAGTGTCCTAGATGAAAAGACACGAATTGAGCGATATGACTCCCAATCGTGGGAATCGCTCAAGGAAAATCCTCTCTATGAAGATTTGGTTGAATTCAAGGATGTATTCCCTGAAACTGTTCCGTGCGAATTACCGAAGGATAAAGGTATTCGACACGAGGTCGAGCTTAAACCAGGCTCGAAGTACTGTGTCATGAAGCAGTGGCCACTGCCTCGTGAACAAGTACTTGCGATCGACAAGTTCTTTGCCGATCGTTTAGCTGCGGGCCATGTGAGGGAATCAACTTCCCCACATAGCTCTCCGACCTTCTGTGTGCGAAAAGCAACAGGAGGGTGGCGGATAGTGCACGCATTCAACAAATTGAACGATGCAACGGTACCGGCTCAGACGCCGATACCGAGGAAGGACGTAATCATTGATGGTATGTCAAAGAGTACCATCTTTTCGTCCATTGATTTGATGGATGGCTTCTATCAAATCCTTATGCGGGAACGGGATATACCCTATACCGCAGTTAGCACGCCTAGCGGCATGCTCTGGGAATGGCTAGTAATGTCACAAGGGCTCAGTAATGCCCCTGCCACGTTCAACAGATGTGTATCACATCTGTTGAGACCAGTACGAGAATTCGCACCGAGTTATTTCGATGACGTATTCATCCACAGTCGGGCTATGGATGGAAAGTCGGACGTTGAGGTTCACAGGTACCACGTCCGACATGTTCTTACAATCATGCGAAAGCATCAATTGTATGCTAACCTCAAGAAGTGTATATTTGCCGCAAGCGAAATACCACTTCTTGGGTGCATCGTTGGTAAGAACGGTGTACGTCCTGATCCCGAAAAGATCAAGGCGATCACCGACTGGCCTGTGCCGGTCGATGTCAAAGGTCTTCGAAAATTCCTTGGGCTAGCGGCGTATTTGCATAAGTATTCACGCAATTACGCCGAGATGACTGTGCACCTCTCTCGTTTGTTGAAAAAGAACGAGAGGTGGTTATGGAACGCTGAATGTCAACGCTCCTTTGAGGGTATCAAGCAGAGCTTGATACAATCCCCAGTCCTAGCAATAGCCGATCAGGACAGGCCATTTCATGTGGTCTGTGATGCCAGCGATTTCGCAATCGGCTGTGCATTAATGCAGTACGATCTTGAAGGCGTTGAACGCGTCGTCTGCTATCAGTCGCGTCAGCTGCAACCAGCTGAGCGGAACTATCCAGTGCATGACAAGGAACTCCTTGCCATGAAGTATGCGCTCGCGAAGTTCAGAGTCTATCTATTAGGAGATAGACCCTTCGTTGTTTACACTGACCATGCGTCCTTACGCACGGCAGTGAACAGCCCGCACCTTTCACAACGAATGGCGCGGTGGTTTTCATTCTTTGCGGAATACAACTTTACGGTCGAGTACAAACCAGGACGACTTAATGTCGTCGCTGATGCACTCTCACGTCGTCCCGACTTTGAAACAGTCGCGAAACCCAACAGTGAGACAGTCACTGTTGCGGTTATGACGTCCTCAGTCCCATCTACAACGTTGTATGATGATGTGAGGCGGGCATACGCCCAAGATGGTGAGATAGTGAAGTTGTTGACACATCTCTCCCAACCATCTCGAGAATCGTTGAAACGATTGTCGTCTGCGTATCGATCTGCATCAGATCGATACACTACTCGTAACGGTTTACTGTATTATACAGCCGTTTCTGGTGACACACCACGTGTTGTCATTCCAGATGATACTGATCTGCGTTTGCGGATCATGTTCGAGTATCACGATGCTCCTATAGGAGGACATCGTGGCCGAGAGAAAACATATCTCACGGTAAGTCGAGACTTTTACTGGCCCCGCCAGTATCAGTTTGTGCGAAAGTATGTTCGCGCATGCGAAGTCTGTCAACGAGTGAAGTCAAGTCCTTCACTGCGTGCACCTTTACAGCCTCTACCGGTTCCGGCTGAGTGCTGGAAATCCATCTCAATGGATTTCGTCTTCGGGTTACCCAAAGACGCACGCGGGAATACGGGTATTCTCGTATTTGTTGACAGATTCAGCAAAATGGTACACCTTGTGGCTGTACCAGAGACAATCACGGCAAGTGGCTGTGCTTGTGTCTTTATTGACATCATCTTCCGACTTCATGGGTTGCCCCGTGAACTCGTATCAGACAGAGATCCACGATTCACTGCTGATTTCTGGCGTTCCGTGTTCAAATCACTCGGAACGCGCTTGAAGATGTCGACATCTGATCATCCAGAGTCAGATGGTCAGACGGAACGTGCCAATCGTGTCCTTGAAGAGATACTTCGAGGATACGTACACTCCTTCAAGAGTTGGAGTGAGTTTTTGCCAATGGTAGAGTTTGCCATCAACAACTCGGTGCATGCGTCCACGACACATACACCGTTTTACGTGAATGGCTTGCGCCATCCGCATGTACCCACCTTACTAGAGTGTAACTCTGGTTTAAGGGGGGGAGGGACTCGCGCGAGCAAAAACCGATTTGGTTCACGCTCATCACGCTCTGACGAGGAAGTCATTGCCGATATCGATAACATCGATATCGAAGAAGATGATGCCAGTGAGAGTGCGGAAGCCCTCACTGAAGAAGATGATCCCAGTGAGAGTGCGGAAGCCCTCACTGAAGAAAAGGTTGATGTTGCTGCAGTGCGCTCACAGCACACTGAAGCTAACGAGTCATCAGATGAGTTCATACTGGCTCGTGAAACGGTAGTCCGTTTTGTGCAAGACTCCATCGCCGAAGCGGTGGATAAGCAAAAGCAAAACGCTGACAAGAATGGAAGGGCAAACACTCTTTTATTTAATAAAGGTGACTTAGTCCTACTGTCTACGGTTAATCTACCAAAACATGTAGTGACTAACTTGGGTAGCAGTAAACTACTACCCAAGTACATTGGCCCATTTCGTGTATTGCACCGCCTAGGCAATGCATACACGATCGAGTTACCACGTAAGATGCGAACGCATCCCACGTTTTACGTTGGTCGGCTTAAGCCGTACCATCAGTACGCTGCTTCTTCCGATGAAGAACGCCCTTGCGCTCTAGCATCTCGCAGAGAGCCTTGTGCTCCCGATGGTGGGCATCAACAAGGGTCTGAAGAGCAGTTATCTCAGCCCGAGACCGATCAGCAATCCCACGAGCTACCCTTAGCTCGTCACGAAGAGATGTCAGAGATCTCTCGTTCTCAAGCTGAGCAAAGGCAAACTCAGCTCGATGCTTCGAGGCAGTGTCCGCCATTTGGAGACGCCTATTCCGCTCATGTTCGAGATCGTCGCGTAACCCTTGCGTTACGCGATCAAAGAAGCTCTCGGGAACACACCGATCCACATGATCGTGTGGAGAGCGTCTTTCCTCCTCCTCCACCTCCATTAGAGGACTCTCGCGGTGGCCAGCGCTATCTAGTTGAGCAGCTGTTGAACCACCGCGACGTGAACGGACGTCGGACGAGTTATCTCGTCCGGTGGCGCGGCTATCCCCCGTCCTGGGATTCTTGGGAGCCCCGCTCCCAACTGATGATCGACGTACTGGGTCTGGTTGAGCAGTACGACGCGGCACATCCTGTGCCGCAGAAGGACCGCCGGAGAAAGTCTTCCCGGCACGGTCGTAAAGGGATTTCAGGTTGTCAATCCCTTCGTACATCTCAGTAGAGACACGTACGCGCCACCACGGGCTGGTAAGGAGGTAAGCCTCCTTAGGTGCTCGTGCAGAGTTGTTCACACAACATGGGCACGAGTCTCCCCAAGAGAGGCAGGGTAATCCTTTCTCCCTTGACAGACGATGCAGCTTGTAGCGTGCACCTGTCGGGGTTCGCTTTTCAAACTTATCACGAGCTTTGATAAGTTTGTCGTTCCAAGCGTCACGACCTACATCCTCGAGTTTATGGATGTAGGCGTTCCACGCCTGAAGTAGTGAGGGACCATCACGTTTGTGATTCCCACTGTACCATCGATGTCTAAAAAAAGCATCGATAGAGAATTCATGTTCAGCGCGATAGTTTTTCGCGCTGGGGTCAAGGTGATGAATCCTTGACGAATCGAACAATCGTGTTCGATAACGATCACTCGTCGTCGCCGACAAGTGATCCATGACAGATTTAGGAGGCATCCATGCCTTCTTTTCTGGAGCGAGACGCAACACATTGCGGTCCCGCTCTTCCTGCGACGTGCCGACAGAAGTACTGGCACCTCGCTGTGAAGTGGTGTCCATTGGAGAAACGACACCACTATTAGCGCCCGAGTCTCGCGACCTCGAGCGCCTTCGCTTCGGCGATGGTTCATCTGACTCATCAGATGAACCAAAGATGCTGCGACGCAAAGCATCGTCCATGCCACGCTTGGCAGGCGGCTTGGATTCAATTGCCGTCGATACGGATCCGTCATCCGTATCAGGAGAGTACGAGACACCGAGCTCGTACTCTGTGAAGACACGAGTGTCTTCATGACCAGCGCCTGCATCACCAGGTGATACAGGCTGAGTCGATTCAGCAACCGATGGGATATCAGTTGCTGTAGTTTCTGCTTCGGCGTCCGCACAGAGACGTGCAGACGCGCTCTCGGCGGCCTTGCTCGCGCATCGCATGGGCTTGTTTACCATGCGATGAGATGTTGGAAAGTGGACGCGGACCAACAAGTGCAAACCCCGTCCCAAATGATTTGGGACGAGTATCCATTTAGTCAATCAGTCACTAAAGTGACTGATGGTTAAGGGGGGGGTGATGTAACGGGGTGAATCGTTACATAACAATTTATAAGAGATTGTTAATAGAATATAACTATAAGAGTTATATTCTCAGAATATTGTCATAAGGACAATATTCTGTAGCACTTCCAAGTAGTTCCTAATTGGTTGATATAGGCCATTATATCAACCAACGAAGACGCGCCACGATAGACGCACGCAATGAGTGGTGAGCAGATAACTGATTTACACATTTGTATTTAGACATAGTTAGATGAAGATAAATAGTGATTTATTGCAGACATTAACTATTATAAATACAGTTCTACTTTTTACTCTAACCAAGTACTCGCTTCTTCTTACCGTCTTCCTCTGCACGTACGAGTGTACGTGAAGTTACGAGGCACCGCCTTATTCTGTTATCAGAATAAGTAGCTTGTACTGTCACCAGTACAAGCTTCAGGGTGCCCCGTTACAGTGCATGTAAATTTCTTCCTGACTATTCCAAACAAGAATAAAGTTTTTACGTCGGCTCGAGACGTTCGCTTAAAGTGCCTCTAAGGAGTCGAATCACGTCGCTCTTGCAATCGCGGCGGAATACGACTTTCTACCAGCAATTTGTACCCCGCCGCGATTAAAAGAGCAACGTGATCTGACTCCTTACGGGCAATTTAAGCAGACGTCTCGAAATACTCAACGCCTGGACGCTGTGTAAATCACTTGGCGATAAAACGTGCCTTAAACATCAGGACTGCTCCGTTCGGATTGCGCTTGATACAAAATAACCACTTGCATCCGATTGCATTTTTATCTTGGGTTAGATATTTTTTGCGTCCACGTCTAGTTCAACACCAGTGACTCCATCTCGATTTTCATGGCTTTCAGTCATTCGTTCTTGTGTTTGCTTTGTAAAACCTGATCGCGTGTCGAACAGATCTCACCATTACCTTCATCACCAAAACCACAAATTGCATCTTGATCACCTTTGAAGTCGGAATTGTTTGTGTACCCTCGAAGGAGCTTCGTAAAGTCTTGTTCATAACGCCTGATTTTTTTCCCGCACTCGTCACTGGTCGTACGTGTGCCTCTTGCTCGCCTTCATGTCCCCTTGTTTTAATTGGCGCGTCGGTATGGCGCCAGAAGGTCGTTCTGTCGGCCCTGTGCCGACTCTTACGCTTCTTGGGTTTCCGCTCCTTGGTGTGCTGACCCGTTGTTTAGTGATGTGACGTCTATCTCTTCATCTCCATCGCCTTCACCTAGCACATAAATCACGCACGATGTAATGTCTCTTTGTGGCTCTATCGGCATACTTTCTGCACTGCCTTTAACAATAATCTTGCGTTACAAAACGCGTTCCTTTGTACTCGCGTCCAAAAGTCGATGTTATTTGTGCTCTGTAGATAATCCGAGTAGCTAATATTGAACTCCTGAGTCCGCGAGCTTGCTTTGCTTCTTCTTAGCATGTTGCGCACAGCACAGGATTCCAAACACCCGAAGTATCTTGACGCGCGTTTTCGCCAAAACACAAGCTCAAACGGACATGCCTTCTGAGTCGACGCACTTGGCAGCAGGTTGCGAATGTCCGCAGCCGTATTCCCTGCCTCGCCCTAGTACACTTAACACATGCGAGAATCACTCAGCGAACAACGAGTCATCTCGATCGGCGTGTGGTCCATGCGCTCTATAATGCCGTTCTGCTCTGGATCGAGCGGCACTGTGAACACCAGTTTGATCATCTTGCTCTTGTAATAATGTTCTATCTATCCCTTCGATGCTCGCCACCATTATGACTGCGTAACACCTTCACATCGACGCCACACTCTATTTTCACTTCGTGTTAGTAATTTTAGAGCGCTTTGGTGACGTTGCTTTTAATTACGTAGTACTTAGATCGTCACCTAACAGCTCTTAATATTAATGTAACTAGATGGCGAGATCCTGGCCTTAATGCCGGTGTGATCGGTCCCACAAAATCCGAGTACAGGCCGAATGTTTACGACGACTTTTCTTTTGGATCATGATTGTCTTCACTGCCGTTATAGTTGTTTAGATTTGTTTAATTATAGAGCATATGTCGCACACAACACTTGTGTCCATGCACTCGCCCTTATTGCCGATTTTTTCAATCATTTTTCACCGTCGAGTACGATGCATGACCAAGGCGGCAATGCCACAATTCAGCTTTGTTGTCGACAGCATGACACTCAGCAGTCGCCTCAACAGTAAGCGTTTTCAAGTTGCCTCGTCTTGATCCCTTCCCTACTATCCTTCTGCTCTTCTTTACGACGCATTTTTCTCCACAGATCGTGAGCTTCATTACGCATTATAACGTCGCGGTCAGCGAAAACATAATCTTGCTGATATTATAAATGTAGGATCCCTTATAAGCCGCGATTCATTCCATGCGGTCCCTTTTAGAACGTGCAAGCTCACTGTACCTTGTCCGGGTACTTTCAGCTGCGCAATGTTCTTTGCGCTGAATACAGTGCGCATCTTCGTTGTCGTTGTGCACTCGACAAACGCTGATCGGTCTTGCACTTGTGAGCCGTTTTGCCGCTGTTCTATATCCAGCAGTCTGCCGCGCTTCTTTTCGTGAAAAAATACTTCACTCAAATGGTTGTCGCTTCTGTCGCCATTCTCGCTCTCCTTGTTCAGCAGTCGCGTGCGTAATGTCCGCGCTTCCCACGATTAAAGTACTGAACTTGCGTTTCTTTCTCGCGCTGCGAATTCCCGTCCTTCTTGCAAAGTTGTTATTTTCTTGGCGTCGACGAAAGTGTAGCGCCGCTGCCCTCTCGATGCGCGACGAATTTTTTTTCGCACTTCCTCAGAAATCAGCTTGCTAACAAGGTTGCTGAATAAAGACTGCTTCACGCTCATGCCAAAGGGCTGAACCGAACTATTTAAGTGCGACGAAATACTTTGGAGCAGTGTAGCACACACTTTCCTCGCTTGGAATAATCCGACCTTCGTCTCATCCAGCACTAGTCGATCCAGCTTGGTCGCACGCGCGCTCATGGTCTTTGCCGTACACTTGAAAGAAGAGAACCGCTTTTTGAGCCATAAACGACTTGACATGTCTTAGGCATGTTGTAATTTCGCCAAACCACCCCACGCAATTCTTACCGTAGTCGCAGTGATGA